TTACACAAACGCCGCTATAGACACATACGTTTGTGGCGTTTTAATACCAAACGCCGCAATTGTCATATAACCTAGTGGCGTTTACGTAAAAAAAACGTTGCTACTGAACACTACTTTAACATATCGAAACAAAACCCTAATTTCATAGATTCAGTCTGGGCATCGAAATATATCTCCCCTCCCTTTTATCTCTTCGCATCCACTCTCATCCTTTAATCCTTCGACCTCCATTGTTCGATCCATCTTCCCTTTACATTCAACCCAGATATCTCCATTCTTTTCATTCCCCTCTTTCATTTCTGCCTTTTCGTTCTATCTTTTTCAATTTTTTTTATTTCAGTAATTCAGTAATTCAATTTTAGTTCCATGCCCCTGTATCACCTGATCCTAACGTACAATATCTTCCGCCATGGACCGTCTTTCAAGCTCGTTGAGAGTCCATTACCACCACTTGTACTCTCCGTTTTCTATTTATCTCTACCTCTCTCTGGTGATTGCTAACCAATCCTCCTATCACCTTTGTAAGTATTTTTAGCTCAGCTCTTCTTTTAATCCATCTCCATCAATTAATACGAACTTAAAAAAAATCACCCTTTTTCAGTTTTTGAATGCGATTCCTGTATGGGTTTTTAATTTAAAGCTAAATTTTTTAGTAAAATCTCAACTTTTTTGGTTCAATTTTGGTGGCAACAGATTAGTATTCTGAAACTTATAGAGAACTATTGTCAGTAGTGTGATGAGACCTGGATAATATGAAGGAACTAATCTTCGAAAACAGAAATTGTAATATTTGGAATTAGATTAAATTAAGATGAACAAGTAATAGAAATGATTTTGGAAATTCAAAAGAAAAATATTGATGTTGTAGTTGGTAATCAATTTGAAAGTGAATGAGCCTGCGCTGCCGACAAAAGCAACGGCATTCTCACTCAAAGAAAGACTTTGTAACTCTTGAAAAGGAAGAACCAAAGAGGCGTTGAGATTAAGGAAACTGCTGTTGTAGAATGTAACTAAATCATGCTAAGCTATTGTGAATGTAAGATTAAGTAAAAGTCGGATGAGATGGCTCCTCCAGTGGTTGGGTTGCAGTTAGCCTTTTCCCATTCACAACAATCTGAAACTTTTTCTTCCACTAAGAGTTCATAAGATTGTTGGGGATTGGAAAGGTTGAGTGCAACCTTTAAAAATAGGAAGGATACGGAAATGGTTCGAGAATTATGAGTTAGTTAAATATGTTGCTTCTGTTTTGAAATATTTCTTATGTTTAGGTTTCTCTCAATCCCTCTGCCTTGTAGATGTGCATCCCTTCAATTCCCTTTTCTTGTATACTTGTTAATTTTAAACTTGGAGTTTCTGTTTTGGTACATTTAGCGAGCCTAGGTCATTTACTGGGATTTAAGTTACGGCAGGTGGGACGTTATTTTATAGCTGCAATGGCTTGATGATGCTTCATAAGAAGTCAAAAATGGAACTGGGATCTCACTCATGAAATTTCAAATTCTCATATAATTTAATTATTTTCTTTGTATTTTCTATTGAAATTCTGCTTTTGTGCCCCTAATTTTTATAAGTTTTCCCCTCCAACATAAAATCATGCGTACGTCTCTGTATGTGACTCCTCTTGTTTCCAAAGAACTTGCTGAAAGGTACTCTGATTTTTTAATGACCGATATATTGCAGGTAAGCCTGTTTATCTTTGTATCCTTAGGTTTGTTTTTACTTAATGCTTTATGTTTTCTCTTTCATACAATATGACATTGTACCTATTCTAAGTCCAGCATCTCTAGCAAGGTCAAGAATTGAAATTCCTCAAGCAGACTTGTAGGCAACCAAATATTATCTAATTAATGAAAAAGTTTTCCTGCTGATGTTTAATTACGAGTTTTGAAAAAAAATGTAAAGAAAGATACTTGGAGGATAAAATCTTTTCGAGTTTCATAATGTTACAAACCTAATTTAGCATTGATGTCAAGGGAAAATTTTCACAAGAACAGTTCTTGCATTTGCATATTGGCTTCAATTCAAGTTGTAGGTATTTTCTATGATTTGATGGTCATTGTTTTATCATTTTGATGACGTTGAAGAAAAAAAACTTTTATTATGAATTGCTTTAGACCTAATTTACTTTTTATTCTTTTCTCGCCTGTTTGAATCCTGGATGGTCAGCCTAATCCTGATTCTCTAAAACTATTGAAGTGCCCCCTTGGTTTTAATTTAAATAATCCATCAGGTCTAGATGTTATAGTGATAAACTTCTTTAACCAATAGGGCCAATATCTTTGTTCCTTTCATTCCTGTGGCTAATCATTTTAATTTTTTGTCAAAGTCTAAAACATAGTCCAGTTACCTTGTTAGGTGAAAATAATCTGGTTAAGAAAAAGGAAGCCTTCTATCTTGCTGTTAATGCTTTTATAAAATACATGATATAAGTGATGTCAATGTAATTGAAATCTATCATTCTTTTTTTGTAGATTTGACACAGAATATATGTGCAAGCATGCACGCGAGCGAGCACACACACAGAGAGCAAAAATATGCTACAGAATAAGTTGGACACACTCTTACAAGTAAAATATGCTACAGTATTGTGAACAACTGAACATTGTTGCAGTACAATACTTTACATTAGTGTGAATTGTAATCCCAACTTTGAGAAAAAAAGGAAGAAACCAACAAAGAAAAGAAAGACTCCGGCGGTTCTCGAAAAGATCTGGAACTTACAGGATAAGCTTAGCAATGCCATTCACTCCATTTCGCGAGCTCACTTTCTAAATTCCATCAAAGCCCTCATAAAATCCGACAAGAAGAAGCTCTTCAACGACGTCGGCGACGATAAATAGAACGGCTCAATGTATGTCCTAGTGTTATCTTTGAAGTCCCCTTATTTAAAGCTATTATTCTTGGTGCCTGCGGGTTCAAGATCTGGGGGCATTTGTTCTTTCGTGATAAAATTGAGTTCTTTTGCATCTTTTTTCGAACTACGTTTTAGGTAATTTAATTCCATAAATTTGGATAATTTCATGTTTATTGGTAGGATTTTGCATCAGGGTTGGTTTTAGATCTTGTTGACAACATCTCTTTTCTTTGATTGAATGATTCTTCGTTGAAGGTTCGAAGTCTTGACTTTTTTTGATTTTATTTCCATTTTTTCTTTTTTGTTCAAACTATTCATTGTTTATCTTAAGATATTTGCAAATTGCTTAAAGAAAATTTCATTTGAATTATATTATCTAGGTTTCATGCTTTGATCAATCTACTATTCCTTGTTTCATCTTCACTAGTTTTGTTTCCCTGTGTATGTATTTCTGGAATCTAAAGAACAATTGCTTAGCTATTTCCATTACAAATTTGTATAATGGTGGAAGTTAATTTTGTGTTATTTTGTTTGTTTGTTTAGGTTCATAATAATTTGCAAAATGGAAGGTATTGTTGTTAGAAGGGTCATTCCATCAGACAAATGTCAATCCTAAAATTCTAGTGAACAATATTTTTTAAATTGAAAGTGAAAGAACTTAGACTAAATTCTAGAGAACTATGTTAAACTATATTACATTTAATTTTAGTGTTTATAAATTTTAATTTATTTTGTTGTTAAGTATTTTTCTGCATAACTTGTGTCTTAATTAAAATGTATTGTTGTTGTTAATTAGATAAAGCTACATGATATTAAATTTAGGTGATGTAGAGCGGAAATGAAATATGCGAAATCAAATAATCTTAGCTAAAGAAAGGTAATTAGCGGCATTTGTATCAAAAAATGCCACTATAGATCTGATATTTTGCGGCTTTTGTATCCAAAAACGCCGCCATAGATCTGACCTTTTGCGGCGTTTGTTACAAAAACGCCGCTATAGATCTGACCTTTTACGACGTTTACTCCAAAACGCCGCTATAGATATCAACCTTTTATAGCGTTTGTTCAAAAAACACAGCTATAGATTTTACCTTTTGCGGCATTTGTATCCTAAAACGCCGCTATAGATATCAAACTTTTGCGGCGTTTGTTCCAAAAACGTCGCTATAGATATTGACATTTTGCAGCGTTTGTTCCAAAAACGCCGCGATAGATCTTAACCTATTGCGGCGTTTTTTGTTCTCAAACGCCGCTAACTTTAGCGATGCTGGTATTGCCGGCGCTTCTTGCGGCGTTTTTCCTATCGCCGCAAGTGTTTTTAACGGCACTTAAAAACGCCGCTATAGGACTAAAAAAACGCCGCTAAAACTCTATTTTGCTGTAGTGATAGGAGTGATACTTGATTATGGTTGCAACAAAAATATTTTGTTTGATTTTTTTGTGTAGTTATATTTGACCAAATATGCATACTGTTGTGATCCACCATGGTATTGTGATTAGAAAAAACACAACTTTTTGTTAGCCTTAATTAAGTGGGTTTATATCTTTTGTTGATACATTGCTAACATATGCCACTTGAAATGCTTTATTTTGACTATGCATATTAGTCAAACATGTGATGTATGGAATATTATTCAAAATTATTTAAAATTATGAAATGAATGTAATGATTCTTTTATGGAAATGTCTTTTTTTTTGCTTACATCTATTGGTCATATATGTAATATTTCTTCATATACATTTTACCCAACAATGATAAATCTTCAGTTATAATATAACAACCAAACATCATTACATTAACACTTCAATTACAACATAACAACCACACTACATTAATTCTTCAATTACAATATCAACCACACAACATTACCCTAAACACAAACATTAAAACCCATAAAAATATTGTTAAGGCATAAATACTTCAATTACAATATCAACCACACAACATTACCCTAAACACAAACATTAAAACCCATAAAAATATGGTTAAGGCATAAATACTTCAATTACAATATCAACCACACAACATTACCCTAAACACAAACATTAAAACCCATAAAAATATTGTTAAGGCATATATCCATAATATTACCCTAAGTCTTTAGTCAACCATTCTCTTAACCAAGTTAAGAGATAACAAAAAGAGATGAACAACAATAGCGTCCAAGAAGATCAAAGAGCAACAAAGAAAGTAAAGAATCGGGACTTAACAATTGAAGAAGAGGAAACAATGCAACAAACAGAGAATATGCAGACTGAAATTGAAGCCCAAGTTGAAGATACTGCGCGAAAAGATCATCCCAAGAGTCCTGAGAAACTCTCTTACGCTGCCATGACTGCCAGAGGATCTACCCTAAACAAGAACCCACCAGTCAACTTGCATGAAGAAGAGATAGTTCTCCAAGAAGGAGATGTTACTATGGACAGTACTGGAGATTTTCCTATAATAAACTTCTCAAAGCGAATCCATGACTTGATAGATCGAAACATGAAACAAGTTATCATCACGAGATTGCTGGGGAAAAATTGGATATAAAGCCCTGATGAACAGGATTCAGATGTTATGGATGCCGATAGGAAATTTCAACTTAATTGATCTTGATAATGATTACTATTTAGTCAAATTTGAAAATATTGAAGACTATACTAGAGTTCTCACCGATGGCCCTTGGATGATATTTGGAAGTTACCTGACTGTTCAACCATGGTCGAGGAACTTTACCACAGCTGAAAAACATCCCTCACAAGTTATCGCCTGGCTGCGTCTACCTGGATTACCGTACAGGTATTATAATGCAGTGTTAATCAGAACTATTGCAAATACGATTGGAAGAGTCATCAAAATTGATTACAATACTAAAGTTGTAGAGAGGGGAAAATTTGAACAAGTCTTTATTCCATGTATGGGAATTGATGCTTTCACCCAAAAGATAGAATAAGGGCTGCAACAAATCTGCTTCAACTGTGGAACCTATGGACATACTAAAGAAGTTTGTCAATCCAACCAAGAAGATAAACAGACCGATGTTAATAGCAATAGCAATACTATGAAAGAACGATCCAATGTTGAAAAAAGTAAAGAAAATCCCTTTGGCCCTTGGATGGTTGTTCAACCGAGAGGAAGAAACAATAGATACCAAAGAACGCAAAATAAAACCAAAGAGATTGAAGGAACATCAAGACAAGGATCAAGATTTGCACCTTTAAATGAGGAACAGTTAGAGGAGGAATCCAGGGGAAACAATAAAGATTACCAAAATCAAAGTAAGGTAAATGATACTCAAACACCTACTACAAAATCTAACACACCAGCAGAGCAGAAAGAAAACAGTACGAGAGTTAGAGAAAGAATAAGGAACAAAGACATACAATCTCAAAATGATACTACTACAATACAGACCCAGAGGACTATGACTCATACCAGCATTGAAGATGAAAATAGATAGTTGATGTCCCTATTACTGACAATGAAATGGCAGCTAACAAAGACAATACTAAGGAGGTTATGATAGGAGGGATCCAAGTCATGGCGAATGAAGAAATCCAAATTAGTGAACACATGGTAAATATGGGAGATGGAGTCCATACAGCAATTACCATTCATGATAAGGACAACATACGAAATCATACTTCTAGATGGAATATCAATAAAAAATCTAAGCAAGTTTCCCATTTTACCAAAAAAGGTCTGAAAATTGGTAAATCTAAACCTTCTACCAGTCCTAATGTTCAATTAATTTCAGAATGGATTCAAGAAAAATCCATGAACTCTGAGAATTTGGCTCCTCCTGATTACAACAACCCTACAAAAAACCAAAGTTAATCTCTGGAGCAAATTGATCTGAACCAGAACCAAGACGGTGAACAGGAAGAGATGGATCGGGCACAAATCAACAATCAATTACCTCAATAATTATGAAGATTCTTTTTTGGAACACTTAAGGGGTTGTTAAACCCTCTTTTAGAAGACACTTTAAAGATTGTGTTTAGTCACAAACCCAAGATTATTTCCCTGATGGAGACTCACAAAGTGGTAAGAAAGCTGACATAATTATTAACAATATGGGGTACATCAACTCTTTTAGAGTCGAAGCTCAGGGTCACAGTGGAGGCATCTGGATTCTTTGGGATAATTCGGTTAAGGTGAAAATATTAAGTATCTCTAACCAGTCCATGCTCAAATTAAGGATAATAACAGTAACTGCTGGAATTTCTTCATAGCAATTTATTCTAGCCCCAACCCCAATATTCGTTGTAAGATTTGGGATCTTCTAGACAAGCTCAAGCCTAACAATAATGAGCCTTGGATTCTAGGAGGAGACTTTAATTGTATTCTGAGTCCTGATGAGAGAACAGGTGGTAGCAGTAAGTACAGAGGAGGAAGTAACCATTTTCAAGATTTCATCTTCAACAATAATCTGATTGATGTTAATTTCCAAGGTGAAATTTACTTGGAGGCGGGGCAACCTATGGCAAAGACTAGATAGATGCATCATGAATTTGAACTGGTTAGAGCTTTACCCTAATTCTAGAGTCCAACACCTTGACAGAATGGGCTCTGATCATTGTCCTATCCTTTTACATACTATGGACAACCCCAAAGATTCTAGACAGAAACCGTTCAGATTCCTGGCAGCCTAGTTGGATCACCCAGATTTTGAACATTTCATTAAAAAGAGTGGGTTAAACATGAGAACCTTATGGATAGCCTCAACCATATCAAGGAGAACATTAAGGTTTGGAATAGAGAAGTTTTGGTAATATTAACCAGAAGAAGAAAAGATTAATTGCTAGGCTTAAAGGGATTGATAAAGCGCTTCGTCACCATAATTCAAACAGATTGTCTATTCTTGAAGTTGATCTCAAGATTGAGCTTGACACAATTTTAAGACAAGAAGAACTTATTTGGTCTCAAAGGGCGAGATGCAATTGGATTAAACATGGAGACAAAAATACCAAGTACTTTCATTCCTGTGCGATTACTAAGGGTAGGAAAAATATCATTACAGCTCTCAAAACTGAAGCTGAGACCTGGTGCGAAGATCAAGAAATGCTTAAAGACCATGTTAAAAAGTTCTATGAAGAACTATTCACAAAAGATCCTTTAGTGAAGAAATCTCTTGAGAATTCTAGACCCTTTCCTAATCTGAATAGGGAGCAATGGAACTGGTTGGATAAACCTTTTGAGAACATTGAAATTAAGGATGCTCTTTTCAGTATGAATCCTCTAAAAGCTCCAGGTATTGATGGGTTTCATGCTAACTTCTTCCAGAGTAATTGGGACACAGTTGGAGAAAAGGTTTGCCAGCTAGTCAAACACTGTCTCAATGGTGGCCAGATTGAAGAAGCTTTAAACAGAACGTGTTTGGTTTTAATTCCTAAGATTGATAACCCGGATAGAATTACTCAATTTAGACCTATAAGCCTCTGTCAGGTTACCTACAAAATTATAACCAAAGTTATCGTTAACCGCTTAAAACCTATTCTTCCTACTCTAATTTCTAATAGCCAAACAAGCTTTATACCAGGAAGGGTTATTACAGACAACATTATCCTTGCTCAAGAGGTTATCCACTCTATGAAGATAAAGAAAGGTAAGAAGGGGTACCTGGCCATCAAGATCGATCTGGAAAAAGCCTATGATAGATTAGATTGGAACTTTATTAGAGATAGTATTGTGAAGTTGGGCTTACCTAATAGATTTATTATGGCTATTATGAATTGTATTACCTCCACGACGATCCAAATTAACTGGAATGGTGGTCTTACGGAGCCTTTTAAACCATCAAGGGGAATCATACAGGGTGACCCCCTTTCGCCTTACCTATTTGTCATCTGCATGGAGAGATTAGCTCAAGAAATTGCATTAAATGTGGATCAAGGTAAGTGGAAACCAATTAAAATGTCTTGAAAAGGTCCTAACATTTCTCACCTCTTTTTTGCAGATGACCTTATGCTCTTTGCTGAAGCAGACAAGTCCCAAATTAAGGTTATTCAGAATACGCTCCAAAAATTCTGTAGCAGTTCGGGTTAGAAAGTTAATCTGCAGAAATCCAATATATTTTACTCAAGCAATTTGAATGTTCAAACCAGAGACAATATTACGAACATGATTGGAATCAAAGAGGTATACAATCTTGGAAATTACTTGGGCGTTCCTCTATTACACAACAGAATCAATAAAAACACCTATAGCAGCATCATTCAGAAAGTGAAAGACAGACTCTCAGGTTGGAAGGCTAAGACATTATCTTTGGCGGGAAGAATCACCCTTGCTAAATCTGTCCTCAACTGAATTCCAGCTTACACTATGCAGTCAATTCTTATCCCTAAAGGAACTTGCGATGAACTGGAAAGATTTACTAGAAACTTTATCTGGGGTCATACTAATGAACATAGAGGTGTTCATCTGGTGAACTGGGATACCCTTTGTAAACCTATTAAAGATGGGGGACAAGGCCTAAAGAACTTGAGGATGCAAAACAAGGCTTTCCTCTTTAAACTGGCTTATAAACTTATTAATAGAAATGATCTGTTATGGGTGCAGGTGATGAGAAACAAATATAAAGTGGAAGGAATCCTGCCTGAGAAGCTAACTAAGAAGGGAGGTTCAGCTCTCTGGAACCACATATGCAACCTTTGGTCAGAGTTTAAGCAGAATATCTGCTGGAACATTGGTAACGGAAATCATGTTCAATTTTGGCACGACAATTGGCTAGATCAGAATGGCCCTTTATCAAATTCATGCATCCATCCAGTTGAAGTGGAAAACGACAAATCCAAAGTAAATGAGATGATCAACCAGAATAGTACCTGGGATTGGAACAAGATTCATTGGCTACTTCCAGACCAAATTATCAACAAATTGAAAGCTACACCTCCTCCAATAGAAGTTAGCATTGCAGACTCGCCCGGCTGGATTCCCTCGGAGAAAAGAGTCTTCACTGTCAAATCTGCTTATAAGAAAATCACAAATATCAATTCATCAGAGGAGAAAATCTGGTCCACCATTGCCAAGCATAATAGCATACCCAGAATTAAAACTTTCCTATGGCTTATAGGAAACGACAGATTACTAACCAATTCAGAAAGAGCCCGTAGACATTTGACAACAGATGAAAGATGCCCTATGTGCAACTATGAATCAGAAGATATCAACCATTTGATGAGATTCTGCCCAAAAATTTTGCAGATGGATTGAACTTCTGGGTACCCAGAAAATGGAAAAGTTCCTGAGTCAACATAAAGGAATGGCTCATTGAAAACATTGAAACAAACCAATCCCCATCACTGAGGATCGAGAACTGGACTACTTTTTTCAGCGCTGTTATCTGGTACATATGGAAAAGAAGAAATCAGGTGATTTTCAACCCGAAAATGATTGAAAGAGACTCTATTATTCAACAAGCCTTAAGACTATCCCAAGATATTCAGAATACAGAAAGTTCTAAGACTGGAAATACAAAGAGCAGAAATAGCGATCAATACAAATGGCAAAAACCAGACAGAAACTACTGCAAGATTAATACAGATGGAGCCAAACGAATACGGGAGAAGCCGTGTGCGGGGAATTGCAAGAGACCATAACGGAAACTGGAATTGGGGTTTTGGTAAGAAAATTGGGATTTGTTCAATCTTAGAAGTAGAACTTTGGGGTATTCACGAGGGATTAAAAGTTGCATGGATGAAGGGTGAAAGGAAAGTGATTTTGGAATCTGACAGCAAAGAAGCCATAAACCTCATCAGAAACAAGTCGACTGAACACATAAAATTAACTATTCTGCAGCACATAGAGACCTTGCTCAAGAGAAATTGGATGGTTGAACTGAAGCACATACCTAGAGAGGCAAATCGAGTAGCGGATGTTATCACCAGGCAATTATGGATTACCAAGGGATTCAGTTTTGCTGCAGAACCCTCCCAAGGAAGCCGAGAAGTTTCTGATTTCTGATAGAACGGGCATCTAAACAGCCCTTTGTACCCGTTTCAACCAAAAAAAAAGTTAAGAGATAACAATTCATAATACCACTATCACAAAGAAGGAAAAGATAAAAGTCAAAATCCAAACAAGTTTTTGTTTCTTTTTTCCCTGATCCATGGCTTCAACCTTCTTAGACGACCAACAAAAATGGTTTTTGACTGATAACTTACTGATGTATCATACCAACAAAAAAAATTACAAATTTTAACCCCTTTTCCATAATTTCCAAGGCCTCGAAACCTTTTACCCAAATTTTCGTCAGTTCAGCTAATGATTATCGTTGAACGAACTCTACAGAAATACTATAGGTTCATATTTTTGTATGCATTTTTTATGTCAATCTTCTCTTCTTCTTCTATCACAATCATTTCTCTGCTTTTTTCAGCAGCTTTTTTAGACGAAGAAAGCCTTTACCAAAAGTGGTTCATAGTTCTTGTCAATGGTATAGTTTACCCCAAACTAAATCAGTTCAAAAACTGTCAAATCCTAACAAAATTATCGTCCTTAGCTACACTTGCTTGTTAAAGCCTAAGAGAAGAAGGCGAAAAAAAGTCAAATTTGATGGCAGGTTACCTACAAAACATCAACGGGACACTGAAATTGAAATAATTTGTCCTCAAAAGAAACACGAGATCACTTGGTTTTCAATTAATAATTATTCAAAGAAAGTGTACTTATTGGGTTTACAGTTGTGTTAAATTTCAGCTACTGCTTGTACTTGAATGAATATTACGTACTCCAGCCTACCAATAATTTACCCACTGCTATATCTATACTAGGAGTACTCCAATATATGGTTGGACGTATACTTTTATTATTTAGCCAATTCTTATGTAATTGGAAGTTTAAATTTGTAATTAAAATCGTTTTCCTGAATAAACAACGAAAATTCAATTGGATTGTACCAAACGCACAGGGAAAAGTAGGAAAAGGACCAACTTTTAAGCAATTATTTTGACCCAGAATAGAGGCTTGACTTCTTGACAAACATGAACTGAAGAAAAAGAGGCAAAATTGCGGCAATAATATTTTTTAGGGTTTTCATTTATTTATCAAAATAACATTTTTTTAATAAAATGCATTACACGCTTAATTTATTGGTTATTATTTATTAATCTTTATTCTTCCTAGCGACTGCATCTTACGAACCATCTAGGACTAATTAAAAACAATGCATGTCGACAGCAAAACTTTTAAACCCAAATCCAGACCCTATTTTGAGATTTTGGTCCTCCTAAACTAATTAGATGTTTAAATTATAATTTGTATTTATGTGTTCATTCATATTATATTTATTATTATTGTAAATATAATAAATAATATTATGGTCGTTAAGAGTGTTGTGGTTATGAAATTTTAATAACATATAATGTGAATATAATAATTGTTGATATCGCAGTAATATTTATTATTACGGTGCCAAAATTCATAAACTGAAGATTTACAATTAGGAAGGATGAGAGTGAGGATCTATAATGAATAAAGAGTTGAGAAAACAGGAGAACGAAGTTACAAGCTAACACAGTTCCTGGAGGTGGTAATTCCACCATCAACTACAAGATTATGGCCGCTGATATATTTAGATTCATCGCTAGCAAGATACAAGGCAGCCTCGGCTATGTCTTTAGCCCTGAGCGTCGGGCCTTTCAGATTGGCTAGCCCTCTCACGAACTCCTCCGTCTTCTCCACCTGTTCCTGGCTCGCATCGTCTTCTTCCTCGTCGTCGCTTCTCCAAGCATTCACCAGCATCGGCGTCGCCACCCCGAACGGCGAAATGCAGTTCACTCTGATCCCGAACCGCCCCAATTCACAGGCGGCGTTCTTCGTCAACCCGACGATGGCGTGTTTCGAGGCCGTGTAAGCGTGTGGACCGAGTCCACCCATCACCCCGGCTACACTCGCCGTCGAAATGATGCACCCGCCGCCGCCTCTGGGAATCATCGCGCGTGCGGCGTGTTTGATTCCGAGCGCCATCCCCCTCACGTTCACCCTCATCACGTCGTCGAACTCATCGGCGTCGAAATCCAAGATGCTTTTGTGCTTTTTCTGGTTCCCGAGCACGCCGGCATTGTTGAAGAGGATGTCGAGCCGGCCGTACCGGGAAACCGTCGAGCTTATCAAGTTCTCGATGTCTTCTTCGAGGCTCACATCGCAATGAACGAACGTGACGGAAGAAGACAACGAAGTAGCAAGCGCGGCACCGAGAGTGTCCTCCACGTCTGCAATGACAACTTTGGCACCGTGTCGGGCGAAAAGCCTCACCGTCGCCTCTCCGATCCCCCTCGCTCCGCCCGTCACAATAGCAATCTTTCCCTCCAACCTACAACAACACAAGGACTTAATAAACTCAACATCCATCAAAGAGAAGTCGATATTCTAATAAGGGACTGCTATTTTACCTTCTGAGGTGAGGGGAAGAATTGTTTTCTCTGCCCAAGACATGGAGGCCTTGCAGGGTATTGTCGGACATGACTTGAGCAGGCATGGTGATGATGGCAAATTAGAAATAAATTGAAATTGTTGTTTGCCGTTGGCAGGGATGCAATTTATAGGCAGCTAGTGGTGGAGTTTGGGGTGAGCTGTTTCCTATTTTCAAAGACTTTTCTGGGTAGCTTCCTAAATTTCTTCCATGCAGAAATTCATAATTACAGCTATATCCAGTAATGGTATTTGAAACACAACCAAATAATAATAATAATAATATTCTTCACCAATCATAGTTGGTCTAGTGAAATAAAACATTAAATATTTTAAACAAGTTTAGAGATTCGAATCCTGACGATTGCGAATAAAGTAAATTAGGTTGAGTAAATCACTTTTACCTTTGAAATACATTATTTAGATTAATCGATCAATAGATCAGATACGATGATTATACCAAAAATAATACTATTCGTATATGCAGAATGCATGCCTCCTAGGGGTGTTTATTCGGTTAAAACGGTGGCCGACCGAACCGAATTAATCGTAACCGAATTAACCGAATTTTTTTTCTTTAACCATTAACCGGACCGAACCTTTTTATGAAAAAATTAATCGAACCGAACAAATTTCGGTTAATTCGATTAATTTTCGAATTAACTGAATTTTTTTAAATTTTTTGAATTTAATATTTTTTTAATTAAAAAACAGTTTACAATATCTAATTAATTTGATTCAAACATTATATTAAAATAAGATATTTGTATCTATCAATTTAGTTCAAAAATAACCAACAATATTGCACTTCTACCAAATAAATCAGAACAAAGTACAGAATGCAGAACTGGAAGCATAATTCAGTATACAAACCAATCATAATTCAGTATACAAACAATTTACACTTTAAGTGTTGGTGCATGAAGAAGGTTGTGCTAACTACTAAGTTTTTGCTAATGCTGCCATACCAACCAAGATGTTCTCTATCAGTGCATATATTCATTCTTAAGAGAACATATTACCTGCACAGTGCACAATATAAAAATAAAGATGCAAAATTCAGTTCGAACTATCAAAAAAAACAATCCAAGGTAAACATCAAATATATCTATTAATATCAACCAATGCTAAATTATAAGTGCTAAGCTAACTCAATCTAATGTACATCTTATTTCAGGTTGATGAAGCTCTTATTAAGGTAGCAGGCCCAAAAGCTTATTTCATGCATTGTTTTGTCTGTTGAACGAGGTGATTACAATAAAAAATACATCTTATTCGTAACTCATTCATCACTTAATCAGATATGTGCTAACTAATACTAATCTGGCTAATGAATTAAAATGAATGTAAGGGAAGATACCATAAAAAACATATTCAAAATTGCTCCATGTGTATGTGCGTTTACGTGTCTTCCTACTCTCATTACCATTATGATAAGATTCCATATAATACGTGTTTTGAACATTCGAACCAATTTCTCTAGGAAATGCATATGCAAAATAAAATTTAGATGTCACATTTTGTGCATTTCCAATATAAAAAAAATATGTGTAAAACAATAAATACATGGATAGAAAACTAATGAAACTTGAACAAAAAGCATTATGGAACATAAAATGTTTAGTAAGAATGAACTCGAAACTAAACACTTAGAAACGGAACAAGCAACATCAAGAGAGTCATTCCTTCAGAGTTCCTAACACGTTTTTCATTATATAGATATTAAGGCTGTAATTCATATAGAAACTGTCATAATCATTTTCCCACTACTACTGCATCAACTCTCAAATAATGTTAAACAC